TTTATGGTTTTGCCTTGTCCTCTTCTCATTAAGAAGTTACCATATTACACAAAATATGTCATCAATCATACCTATTGTGAGCACATGGCTGTAGTGAAGTTGGCCAATGCCAACACTCTCATTAACAGAGCATATGGCATCTCTGTGGCCCTTTCAGTCATGACACTGGACCTAATGCTCATAGCCACATCATATATCAAAATCCTCCAGGCAGTCTTCAGACTCTCTTCCCAGAATGCCCGCTCTAAAGCACTGGGCACCTGTGCTGCCCATGTGTGCACTCTACTTGTCTCCTATACACCTGCACTGTTTAGTTTCCTAACTCATCGCTTTGGCAAGAAGGTACCTCCAAGTGTTCATATAATTTTTGCAAGTTTGTATCTTCTAGTGCCCCCCATGTTCAACCCACTGGTGTATGGTGTAAAGACCAAGCAGATTCGTGACAGAGTGGTTGGTCTCTTCTTCCCAAACAAGAAAATTTCTGAAAACTAAAATATTGAAGTACAAGCCCATGTTGCTAGAATCTCTTTCATGACATCATGGTGATTAACCGTAGTTGTCACCTCTTCCCAGCATGCTATTTCTCTGATTCAGCTATGACTCTAGCAGGGATGTTTGATGTTGTCATTCTTTTCTTTAATTTCATTTTTTTATATTTTCTTTTTATTTTATTATAAAGGAATGCCACTCTATGGAAAGATTTCAATAAATATAATTATAATTTTTAATTAAAATTATTTATTATGCATATATTGATGTTCTATAATATCAATAAATGTGAAATAATAAGCTAATTATTGTAACAATTCAAAATGTCTGAATACATTGGCTCTACAATTAATAATTTATTTTCAAATTTTAACTGTTAGATGTTCAGATTAAAATTCTTGAGTAAAGTCATTATTTCAGGTTTTATTTTGCTTATTGTAAAAGTAGTAATAATGGCTTAGCCATCATTGCACTGATTAGGAAATTGAGACACAGAGAGCTTATATGAGTTGCACTGGTTGAAGTGGGAATGTTAAATTTGAGCCCAGGAACTCACTCTTTCAGAATGCATACTCCTTACTATTCCTTGTAATAATAAATAATAAAAAATTATTATTTCTTATTTATTATAAATTTTATTTTTATATTCCCCATACAATTGCAACCCCCTTATTTTGACCCCAATCCCTCCCCTCATATTATTTCTTCATCAGAATGAAGATAAGGTATCTTAGGCTCATGATATTGGGGAATCACTGCTCAAAGTCCATCTCAGAAGACAAAGTGCTAGGGAATATAACCACATACAAGCACATTCTCACACAAATACAGAGCCAGATTGACATTACATGAATTATATTTATTTTTACTATATCAACAAATATTGAAACTTTTGTGGTATATTCAAGTTTTATATAGAAATCCCAAACTACAGATTTCGTTCCTTTTTTTTTCACTTTTTGGTATTTGTAATTTCCTTCCCCATGGTGAGAAGTAGGAGGCTGCCATTCATCTCAGTTTTCAGGACCATTCATCTCAGATTTAACATTCAGAAAATATTTTATAAGGTTGGTACAAAATTGAAACTACATCTTGATGAAATTTTATTATATATTACATTAATAAAATTTTATTCTATATACAGTGTAATGTCATATTAGACTTTGGAAATATGAAGATAAATTAGACAAAGTCTCTTTCTAGATTTTATTTATCACTATAGATATACATAGTAGGGAATCCTAAGTCCTTAATTGTTAACATAAATAGAATTTGTTGCTATATTTTGCCACCTAGACTGTCCTTCAAAATCACCTTTTTCATGATTATCACAAAGTCAATGAAACAGTAAAAGACAGTTCAACTTATTGAGCATTTATTGTCATATATATGACAAAAATGTTAATGATGCTAACTAATAAATATTAAATCATTAAACAACCATTGTAATTCCCAAAACTATTCTTGCATTTTAATATCATGTGGTTTAAACTATATGACTATTATAGATTTTAAAGAATAGCATTGAATTTAAGAGGAGACCTCAGTTAGGGCATTCTGGTGAAGATATCAAGAATAGTCCAAGCACTGTCTTGAAGAATGAAGGTATTTTTACCTTTATAAGTAAAGAATGCATGACAAAGAGTGGGAGCTGAAATAACTAACAGATGTGAATACAATTCTTGAAGAGAATATAAAGAACCAAAAAAAATATGCAATTGGAAAACTCACATTTAGCACTGTAGAGATGAGTGGTCATATTTGGAATCACAGGACAGTGTAATGTTAATACTTGGAAACTCCACACTAGTTTCTGTGCACAGATGACCATGATTCCATGAGTAAAAACCTGTCCCAAGCTAAACATATTAATATAATAAAATGATTGCTTTTTGTTCCTCTAAATTCTGACACAATAATTCATCAGAATGTGAACACGTCAGGCTCTTATAAAAAATTTTGATGCAAAAATACACAAACCAGGAGGTAGCATATGGGATAAGGAACAGAGGCCAAGTCCAGGAGTTTAAATAGTCTCAGTAATACCAATTGCTACTAGCTGGTTGTAGCCATCCATGGAGTAGACGCTATTAGCTTATGCCTGTATTTACACTCAAATTTTCTATTGAGGGGTCTACCAGAAACATTGTCCTCTAATTCACAAAATCATTTCTAACAAGGCACATTTTGAGGTAAAATCCTGATCTGTTAATCTACATGGCTATGTGTGAATTGAAGTTGATAAATATTTTGGAGATTATTTCCAGGAAAAAGAAAAAAAAATAACAAAATAAATAAGTAAAAAATCAACCGAACAAACAAAAATCAGTCTTTTTTGCAGAATTTATTGCTTTCCCTTTGAGCAATAGATAAAAAACTTGTTATCAAGAATTATTTTGTTATATAAGAAGTTAGCACAAAACCAACTAATACATTTACTGCTTATCATTCCACATTTACTACATTGTCCTCAAACCAAATTTTGCTATTAGAGTTTGAGTCTATGTTAGGATCACTATTATATACTTCTCTTTAGTAGGTTGTGTGAAATATTTTGAAGGAATAGAAGAAGTTGTCAATACATTTTGGTAGATAGACTAAAGATAGGAATTTTTATTCCATGCTTAATTTATAATCATTCAGTAAATAAATTTAGGATGATGTAATGATAGGATGATAAATGATAGTAGGTAAATGACAGACTTAGTTTCATATATATTAGATTACTATAAATTAGAATGAATTTTTCATGAAGTAGCAAAAATTGTCATTTGATATTTTTAAACAGAGGTTGAAATGGAAATATTTAATATTGCTTAACAAAAAATTTTATCACCAATTGACCTTCAAGGACTGAAGTCCTTAACATAAAGGTTTTATTTATTTTACCACTCATATACCAATAATTAATAATTGCACATAGCCTTAAAGGTTAAAATTAATTTTAAAGATTAAAATTAAGGTCTTATCTTTCATAATATTCTTCTTACTCCTGAAGATCATAGTCACTTATTCAGCACATTTTCTTACAGTTATATGGATTCTCAAGTTTTTAAATACTTTTCTGTTTTTTTTTTTGCAAATTCATTCTTTTGTATTATTACTCATGTTATTTATCTTGATCATCAAACCTCAATTACATACCTCTTTCTCAAGGAAATCAATGCTCAAATCCTTTGTACTTGATTAGAGTCCCTGATTAGGCAGTCATTGTACTTCTCATTTACTAATTCAATATTATATGAATTTAGACATATGTATATAGATGTATACTTCATACCATATGCTATTCTGTAAGCTAGGTATTGTTCTCCATTTGCTGCACTATTTCTCTACCTCGGCTGTGTCAATCAGTATGTCTGAAACAACAGCCATATTTTTAATGGATGTTCATACATATTCCGTAGACAACTCAGTTCAGTGTTGTTCACAGATCTATCTTCGTGTGTAAACAACATTCTTCCTTCTTCGCCATCTCTTTAGATGATAAGCTATGAATTGGATTTCAAATACCGGAACTCAGAGCATCAACTTTGAAACCGTTTTCTGCTTACCAAACAAAAACAATCAGTTATTAGGTGTGTCTGTCTATCCTAAATAACATTCATATTTCTTACTATAATTTCATTTTCTAAGAAACATTACCATCATTTCATTACTTTAGAGGTAATCATTACTCTAAGAGAGCTATTCACATTTCAATTGTGAAATATGCAATAGCTTCCAATAGAAATTATGTTCCTGTAATCTTTTTTTTTTGTTCCTGTAATCTTAATGAAGAAATCTTAATGATATCATTTTAATAGAAATGTATATATATAGTGAGCAATATATATGCAATAAGATCACATCTTAACAGCATCAATATAAGCTGAGAACAAGAAAATATTTACAACAGGAGGATAATAAATCCTTTATATAAAATGCACATAATTTGGTTGCATTGTCACTAATGTGGAAAAGAACAGAGTGGGGATAAGGCTCAGAGTGATAGTTTCATATGTTACTCATCTTCAGAATGAGTAACTTCAGATGTTTCTTGAGGAAGGAAGAACTCCACCTACACTGTATGGTGTAATTGCATATAAGGCCCATTGTTTAAATATTCTAAGTAATAGGCGTATTTCCAAAATTGTGGCTACAGATGTGGCTTATAAGTATTGATTCAAAATATTGATTAATATTAACTGGATCCTAAACATTTCACATGGCAACTATGTTGCAAGAACACGTCATCAAAATGCAAAGATGCATATTGCCCTGTCCATAATAAGTAGCATTGTGTTACAGCAAACTTTCAGATTATTCTGGAATGTGGATTATAAAAAAGTAGTTCCATTATATCTCTTTTATGAGCTTACTATTTAAGTAATTTAATATTCAAGTCCTCCTAAAAGAACAAAAAGTTGTAGGAGATGTTATTCAAGCTGTGAAATTGTGTACACATGAAAATTAGCATCATTACTTTGAATTCCTTCTTACTGCTCAAATCCATGGGTTTCCTTACATCTTCAGGGAAACCACTTTTTCATCCTACTTCGGATCTGCTGTGTTTTTACACTGTAGATGATGGGATTCATCAGAGGTGGGAAAAGGATGTAGATATTACCCATAAGGACATGAACCAAAGGTGACAGGTGCTTTCCAAAGCGGTGTACCATGGTGAGTCCAATGATGGGGATATAAAAAACTAACACAGCACAGATGTGGGAAACACAGGTCTGCAAAGACTTGAGTCTCTCTTCTCGAGAGGCAATGGCCAGCACTGTGTGCAAGATGAAAACATAGGAGATGAGGATAAGGACAGCATCCAACAACAAGGTGCAAATCACCAGCGCCAGGGCATAGAAGCTGTTGAAGCGAATATCAGAGCAGGCCAGCCGGAGTAGGTCCTGGTGCAGGCAGAAAGAGTGGGAGAGGGTGTGGGGGCGGCAGTAATGGAAGAACTTCAGGCGGATGATGACAGGAAGAATGGATAAGCCACTTCTCATCAAAATGGTCCCCATGATATGAATGACTCTACTATTAGTCAGAATGGAAGTATATCTCAGAGGATTGCAGATCGCAATAAAGCGATCAAAAGCCATGGCAAGAAGGACTCCAGATTCTGTACAGGAGAGCCCATGGACAAAATAGGTCTGTGAAATGCAAGCGTCCAGACTGATTTCCTTGCTGAGTGCCCAAAGGATCCCCAACACTGTGTGCACTGTGGACAGCCCCATACACAGGTCCGTGAGGGCCAATAAGGCCAGAAAATAGAACATGGGCTGGTGTAGACTCACTTCAGTGCGTATCACATGGAGCACCATACAGTTTCCCAGGAAAACCATAGCATATATGGAGGAGAAAGGAATTGAAAACCAGGGGTAATACTGTTCCAGTCCAGGGAACCCCGTAAGAATGAAGATAGAGGAGTTGATGGAACCAGAAGAAGCAGACATGACTATTTGAAGGTGATTTTCAAGACAAATGGATTGTGGAAGCTGAAGAAGTAGACATGGATCTTTGAAGCTAATTGTCAAAAAGGACAAATATTTACTCACAGTTTTATTTAAGCTGTCTGCTGTCTTTGAGACCAGACTTCTGGTCAGCTACTCAGAGCACAGCACAGAAAAAGCCAATGTTAGAATGCCAAGGTGGCTCCACTGCACAGAGGATATGAAGGCGCACCTCCTTGGTGTGAGGTCTCAGATGTCATCGAATCATACCAAGGTCCTGACCTTTTTAGGAAAATGATATCTTTAACTTTGTTCTCTCAAGTTCTCTCTGAGCTACTTGTACCACACTCACCAGGTAACAGTGGCTAAAGACTGAGACCATCAGGCTGCTCCTGTGTAACTCTCCAACGCTCTCAGTTGCCAGCCCTTAAGGCACAGGGTCAGTGTGCTCATATTTATGAGCAAGGATGAAAGGATTGTGCAAGCCAGGTGAGCACAGACTTCTGAGAGCCCACTATTCCCTCTTGGGAGGGATGCAATTGGAAGGTGTTCCCTGGCAACTTCCAGACAAGTAGTTTGCTGATTCTGAGGAATGGATAAAAGGTAGTGTCCCCAGAGTCCATTCCTCTTCTCTACTCTTCGTGGAAGATTCACTGTATTGACTGAAATTTCAATACTTAGTGAAAATAAGAGGGCAGGATTTACCACCCTTGGGCAAAGATAGTGTCCATTAAGTAATGCTGTTTGCATTTCAGTCTAAAATCAACAAAGGTGCTGATATAATTTATTATTTCCCCCTAGTTTCACTTTTATTTTCCACTGAATTCCTCAAACTCTCTCCTGCTTTCTGAACACAAGCAAAATATGTCACCATTTGACATACATATGAGCATAACACAATAGCTTATATACCTAAAAATATACATACATAAAAAGTATAAAAATTCTGCATTATAGCTCACTGCATTAATAATACATTCACTAATGTATTTATAAATACAAAATTAATTGTCATTTTTTTGAGAAATACTTAAAATATTTCACATTTTCATAAATATTTACAAGTGTTATAGATAAGGTTTTATTTTTATTCAAATTTCCTTTTTTGTTTCTTTGAGACATGATTAATGTTTTTCTGTTTTCTTTCTGTTTAAAATATTTTTAAATCTAGGTAACATTGGTTTACAACACTGCATATTACTCAAAGGTACAGGATGACACCTCTTCAGATGTGTGTTACCATACCACACCCACCCATATTCTTCCTCTGGGTCCCCTTTTCTGAGCATTTTTCTGAACCATTTGAGACTCCCATGATGACTCACTCTTCATGATTTTTTTAATCATGTGTCTTCCACAAACAGCTTTTTCTTCACATAATGATAACATAAGCTTCATCATGAAATTAACAATGACACAGTACTGCCATTGTAAGTATAGGGGGGATATAAACAAAAGAACAAAATATATTACAAATTCTAATGACATTTTATTTCTGTATTTATGATTTATTTCTTATATATATATCATCATTGACAAAAGTAACAGATTGATTTACCTTTGCAATGTCTTTATTTGCAAGGTCTTTATATTTTCAAATGTGATGTTTTTGTATTTGCATTGTCTTTGACAAAATTAGACCAGAATATCTAAAAATGGATATTACATATACCTATCTAAAAATAAATATGAAAAAATACAGACTCTCAAATAGAAAACTGGAGTTTAAAAATGACTAGTTTACAAATGACAGCAGTGGGGTAAAGGGTCTCCAACATAGAAAGAATTCCTCAAACTCTTTACTAATGAGAGAGGTAGAAATTAAATGACACTGAACTACAACTTAACCTCCATGTTAGATGAGAACAAATAGAAAGCTTAAAATATCAAGATGTTAGATGAGCTAAAATAGAAAGTTTAAAATATCAGGAATTTGAAAATAAAAGAAATAGAATTACTCATTGCAAGGGTGGAGGGACAACAGACAAGGACATTAATAGTGGAGAGTAATTCAGACTTTCCAACACTGAAAGATGAATACACAAGAGCCTGAAAATGGTTATGAGCAAATATTTACAGGGAAAGAAAAAGAGAAGGTAATTGGATGTGTGAAAATTATGTCTTAATAAAAACTTACAAGGGGAAAGAGATAGAATAGAGACAACTGGGTAAACTGAGCTATCTTTATACTTTCAGATGACTAGTATTTTTCCTGAGGCACTTCCTTGCAATAAGGTTAGCAATGTCAAAAGGCATAAAAATATATATATGCATGCCAACCTGGAGTTGATTGTAAGGAAATAATCACAGGTACGTATTAATATTTGCCCAAAGATGCAGATGCTAACAATGTGATGGCTATTAAATTAAGTTCCAGTCATAGTCTAAAATGTTTGACAGTGATTGGAAATGTTGTAAGAGAAAAATATTTAATAAATGTGGCTAAGCACAGAAAAAAAAAAAAAGGTTAGCAATGTCCTTATCTTTTCTGATAGTTTGCCCACATTGAATTGGTTTTCTCTTCACACAAATTTCTTTAGTAGATCAAATATTTGTTTGGCATCTCATTTGACTGGCTATCCTGGGACAGTCCCTAAAGACTGTGAACACTCATAAGTACTATCTACATACAAACCCAGCGGTGTTTACAAAGTTGACATAACTGTTCCAGAGGGACATTTGTTACTGCTCCGTGCTAATCCTGGTCCAGTCCTCTTTCCCCTTTGATATTATGTCTCCTGAGTGTACAAATAGCCATCAAAAAGAGGGGTCTCCTGAGCAATGGAATAGTCCATTACAAAGTAACCAAAACTACAAATTTAACCTTGGAAACCTCACTGTCTAAATAATAACCACTGACATATATTTAAACTATTACCACATGTGCATATTGGCCTAGATGCTATGCTGGAAAATTATCATTTGAACATTTTCAAAAATAGTGACAATTTTACTGTCATTTGGAATATATAATGAGTTGTGGGATAGAGTTTAAGAACAAGTATGTAAAGTTAGAATGGAAAAGAAAATGTGAAAACATATAAATGATGTTATACATGTATGTGACATGAAAGGTATTTGAGTACTATAAATTAGTAGCATAGAAGAGGAACCAAAAAAATAATTATTTTACTGTTGTGGATAAAAGTCATACTAGGTCACTATTGGACTGTTTTTGGAAATACCTCAGGTTTATGCTACAGGGCAATCCCTGGTAATGTGTGAGTCACATAGCCAGAAATAATTTAGAAAGTACGTATTCAAGACAGCAGTTGAAACAAGTGAAGAACAGTCAAAGACAATTAATGGACTATCTCTGGTGGGTCAGAAGCCTGAAGACAAGGTAAAAGTCTGTGAATATACAAGATCTACAGAAACATCTTAACTTTCCTCAGAACCTGCTAAGATTTACTGATATTCAGTAACTTTCTTTACGTGTTCACTTTTGATGAAGGAGATTGACATGAAAATAAAGACAACAAACATATGGTAAAACTCTAACAGAAATGGGGAACTTAATGGCTGCTTGAAGTATTGGAGATTGAAAAAAAAAACAGAGGAGGTAAGATTAATTCTGAGATATTTTAATCTGTTATCTGGGTGATAACTGTTGCCAACAAATAAGATCCATTATGCAAGGGAATGGGAGAACTTATTGAATTCAGTTTGTGGTAATGCGAGGTATTATTAAAATAACATTATAAAATATAAAATGCACTTTAAGAAGACTCTATAAGGAAATATGGTATTCTTCTAGTGAAGTCCTCTGGTCTCTAGAGGCAGATGCCAGACATGGAACTGAAAAATGGGCAAAATATAAGAGCCCAGGCTGTCACATAGGCTAGATTACACTCATGGATCAAAAAGGTGATGACAACGTGAAGAGAAATCTAGGGTGGTCTGGGCAGGAATTCCAACTGCTCTGGCAGACAGTCTGTGAAGTAATGTAAAGAATGACCTTATTGCAACAAATAAATTTCTCCAAAACTTCTTTCACTGAGAGAAAATATTCTAGGCAGACGGTGTGAGTGTACAGAAGACCAGGACTTCGGGTAGTTCTCTGTAATTTACTCTGTGTGCACACACTAATGCCCTGACAGAAACATGCCCCATGTAAGGGGAGGTCATGGTCATTTTGCTTCTTTCCCTTGCTCCAAATTAGACATGCTAACATCTTATAAGTGACTTTATTAAAAATAGAGGATAGGCTCTTCTAAATAAATTTGTTGAAAACTAAATGATGATATTTAAATATTTGGTTGTTTTAACAACAGCAATTATGATTGTTAATAATACTGATGTTTCTAGTTGCAACGTATATAAATATATTTGTCTATGTATATGTGTGTTTGTGTGTGTGTGTGTATTCTATTTAGAGTGGACTAGCCTTTACTATGTTTGATTCTGCAGAAAACAGATATAAGAATGGAATTGGGTATACCCAATTCCCCAAAAGGAAATACTCATTTGAGGATATATAAGAGCCAAAGTTGAATAAATACTCTAAAATCTTTCATAATTTGAATGTTTCATATTTGTAGATATCATCTTATGTTCTTAATTCTATCTGGAGCCATGGTCTCATCTCTTTTGTAGCAATTTATGCCATTCTAAGTTTTTATGTTGATTATTCTTAAATATAATGTATTCATTTGTTGTTATAAAATCCTTACAAGGAAACACCCGAAATATGTACTCATATAGACCTGAAATAAGATGATTATTAGTGGACTGCTACTTTTTCCCCCACAAACAGATATTATTAAGGTATCCACACAGGAAGTTTGACATTAGGAATATTTATTATATATCTTGAGTTTCACATTATAAATTTCACATTAAGATTTTCAGGGCCAGATCATAGGGGCAGTGATAAATTTAAAAATCATGCTAAGAAGACCAGATATATAATAGAGGTGTATATGCCAGAGTTATAATAATACTAGGTGCAACTCTGTGGATAGTAAAAAAAATAGAGGTCATTTAACAAAATTAAAGGATGTGGCTATACCGAGAGTCATAAAAAACCACCCTTGCTATTGAACCCAAAAAAGTTGCTCTGCTTGTCACTGTCATGAGGCAGAATAAGCACCAACCAGAAATTATTACTAGGAGTCATGGCTATGCAGAAAATAGAATGGACATTTTTTTCCACCTGATTGCTTACTAAGGCATATTTAAATCATTTGAAAGCATGAAAAAAAAAATCTTCCATTTTTTCCTATTTTTACAATTATGTTTTCCTAACTTCTTATGAAGTTAAAATAGGAATAAATTACAGTTTATAAGATGTTATTATCTTTAATTTTATAGACTTCATTCTTATATTTCATGGTTAGGAGATCTTATTCTGAATTCCTGATTATTTGCTTATTCTCACTATGGATTAGAGCATTAATAAAATAATGGTTGCATTTAGATACCTGATAACTGTTTTTGCATGTGTGTGTGCTATGTATGTATTTCCATACCTGATAAAGATTTCCTTAAAAGACAATTTATTTTTCAAAAAATTTTTATATCATGGAATCTAATGCTGGCTTTGACAAAATCATGAGATTATTATATTACTAACTAATCCTCTAAAAGTAAATTTAAAATTCAGAGTAGAATTGAATCCAATTCCAAATTCAGGGGAAAAAATGTAAAATAGAACTATGGGGACCACACATAACATGAGAAACCAATTACTATATGAAAAGAAGACAATAAATAAAAAACAAAATGAAAATGAAAGATGATTATGCTAAAAAGAAAGCTGAAATAAATTATCTGAAATAAATTATCTGAAACTTTTATTTGTAGGTGGAGATGCTGGAATGAAATGAGGGAATGGTTTACTGATGATATATGGAGGTTTGGCCTTTCATATAAGCAATTAAATAGTGTGTGGAATTCCCAGCATGCAAGGCCAAAAAATAATCATTCTGTCATCCTGATTTCTGGCATGGATGACTGACTGTCTACCTTGTACCTGCGTATGCAAACTCTCAAGTTTTAACATGGCAGACAATGCTACACATCACTACATCTCATCTTTCTTCTTGGTTGGTATTCCTGGTTTGCAAGATCTTCACTGCTGGATCGGTATCCCTGTCTGCCTCATGTTTGTCCTGACCCTGCTGGGGAACAGTGTCATCATCATTACAATCAAACTAGAGCCAAGCCTTCACCAGCCCATGTATTTCTTCCTTTGCATGCTGGCAATGAACGACGTGGCTCTTGTCTCCTCCACTGCCCCCAAGATGCTTGGAATCTTCTGGTTCGATGCTCACAGATTTGACTTTGATGCCTGCTTAACACAAATGTATTTTATCCACACATTTTGCATAATTGAGTCAGCACTCCTGGTAGCCATGGCTTTTGACCGCTATGCAGCCATTTGCATCCCGCTGCGGTATACAACCATCCTGACAACACCAATGGTCATTAAAATGGGTCTGGCTGGTGTGATCCGAGCTGTATTTATGGTTTTGCCTTGTCCTCTTCTCATTAAGAAGTTACCATATTACACGAAATATGTCATCAATCATACCTACTGTGAGCACATGGCTGTAGTGAAGTTGGCCAATGCCAACACTCTCATTAACAGAGCATATGGCATCTCTGTGGCCCTTTCAGTCACGACACTGGACCTAACGCTCATAGCCACATCATATATCAAAATCCTCCAGGCAGTCTTCAGACTCTCTTCCCAGAATGCCCGCTCTAAAGCACTGGGCACCTGTGCTGCCCATGTGTGCACTATGCTTGTCTTCTACACTCCTGCACTGTTTAGTTTCCTAACTCACCGCTTTGGCAAGAAGGTACCTCCAAGTGTTCATATAATTTTTGCAAGTTTGTATCTTCTAGTGCCCCCCATGTTCAACCCAGTGGTGTATGGTGTGAAGACCAAGCAGATTCGAGACAGAGTGGTTGGTCTCTTATTTCCTCAAAAAAAAATTTCTGAAAATGAAATATTTAAGCACAAACCCATGTTAGTAGAATCCATTTCATAAAATCATAGTAATTAACTGTAGTTGTCACCTCTTCCCAGCATGCTATTTCTCTGATTCAACTATGACTTTAGGAAGGATGCTGATTTTGACTTTATTTGCTCTATTTTCATTTTATTTTACAAATAAAGTCATGCCTCTACATGGGAATAAATATAAAAATTATTATTTATCATTAAAATTATAATTTCATATTCTACACGTATTTATCTTCTATAATATCCCCATATGTGAAATGATAAGGTAATTATTATAACAATTCAAAATTTCTCAATACATTGGCCAATGTAATTAATAATTCATTTCCAATTTTTAAGTGTTCAGATTAAAATCCTTGAGTTCACTCATTATTTCAGGTTTTATTTTGCTTATTTTAATAGTTATAAATGGCTTAACAGTTATATAATGATCAGTGTGTATCTGTCTGTTTAATAAGTGCTATGCATGTATTTGCTTCTTTATTCCACCTCTGTACTGCCAGGAAAGTTTTATTTATGAGAACAACAATAAATTTCCGATAAGAAAATTGAGACACAGAGAGCTTATGTGAGTTGCACCAGTGTAATTCACCTTGAAACGGGGAATGTTAAATTTGAGCCCAGAAACTCACACTTTCAGAACACATGATACCTACCATTCCATATTACCCAATTATAATTTCTTCATCAAAACAAAGATTAAGGTATCATTTAGGCTTATAATATTGGGGAATTACTGCCAATAAGTACATCAGAGTCCAAAGCATTAGGAAATACAACCAACCACACACAGCACATTCACGCACATATACACAGCCATACCCACATTATATAGATTATTATCTCTACATCTTGTTGCATCAACAAATATTGAAAATCATGGAGTGCACTAAAATTATACAGAAACCCCAAACTACAGATTTCATTCATTTTTTTGTTCCTTTTTGGTGTTTGCAATTTTCTTCCCCAAGGTGAGAAGAAGCTGGTTGCCATTAATCTAAGTTTTCAGGTCCATCAGTTTGAGATTTAACATTTGGAAAAATATTCTATGAGGTTTGTAGAAAATTGAAATTATAAATCAGAGACATCCTGCAGGGGAGGAGGAGGGAGAGGGATCAGAGGGAGGAGCACGGGAACTGAGGTGATGGTGTGCTGGTGCATTGGTGAAGGAAACTCTATGCTATGCGGACTACACCTGAGGGGGTGTGGGGAAGCAAATACTGTTTAAAAAAGAACAATGATGTGGGCCTCCCCGGTGGTGCAGGGGTTGAGCGCTGGTTTGCGAAGCTGCCCGCAGCCTCTGCAGTGCCGGTTCGATCCCCGGCTGCTCCCCGGCCACTGGAAGAGGGTCCCACATGGTGCGCAGACCTCTCCTGCCGCCCGCTGCTCCCCTCAGCAGTGTACTCGGTCCTTCTGCCTGCTCTGCTCCCCACTCTGGCTCTGGTGAATTCTCTCACCCTCCCGTGCTTCTGACTGTACACAGAGCGTGTAAAAATAAATAAATAAATCTTTAAAAAAAAAAAAAGAACAATGATGTTAAAAAAATATATATAAAAATTGAAACTCTGCCATGAATGGAATTGTATTATTTATTACCTTAATAAAGTTGTATTCTTTATATATAGCATCAGTGTCATACTAGGCACTCTAGATATGAAAAAGAATTAGACAGACTTTTCCTAAAACTTATTTATAGATGTCAAGTAGAGATACATAACAGGGAATCCTATCTCCTTCACTAAGTGTTAGCATAAATAGAATTTGTTGCATATGTTTTGCCACCCAGACTGTCCTTCAAAATCACTTTTCTAAATGATTATCACAAAAAGTCCATGAAACAGTATAAGATAGTCAGTTAGGCATTCAGGTAAGGATATCAAGAAAAGTCCAATCATTGTATTGGGAAATGAAGATATTTTTACTTTAATATTTAGGAACGCATGACAAAGAATGAGAGCAGAGAAAAAAAACTAAAAAAAGTGAATACATCTCTTGAAGAGAATAATGTCAGAAGCAAAAACAAAAATCCATGTAATTGACAATCTTCACACTTTTGGCACCGTAGAGATGAGTGGTCATATTTGGAATCACAGGACAGTGTAATGTTAATATTGAAACCCCCACACAAGTTTCTGTGCACAGATGACCACAATTCCATGAGTAAAAATCTGGTCCAAAACTAAACATATTAACATAATGAAATGGTTGCTTTTTGTTCCTCTAAATTCTGACACTATAATTCACCAACTACACATAATATGAACATGTCAGCTCTTATCAAAAATCATGATGCAAACATGTACAAAGGTAGCATATAGGATAAGGGACAGCGGTCAAGTCCAGAAGTCTAAATATTCTCAATGATACTAATACCACAAACTGGCTATATCCACCTGTGGAATTGACTTTATTAGCCTACGTCTGACATTTACACACAAATTTTCTATTTAGGGTCTCTAACAAAATCATCATTCTCTGGTACAAGAAATAATTTACAGCAAGACACATTTTAAGATAAAGTTATTATCTGTTAACATACAAGCCCTGTATGTGAATTGATGTTGATAAATATTTGGAGATATTTCTAGGAAAAAGCAAAAATAACAAAAACGTGTATAAGTATTAAAAAAAGATCAGATATCTAACTTGCAGAATGATTACTTTCCCTTTGAGCAATAGTTACAAAATTTGTTCTTAAAAATATATTGTTATATAAGACCTTAGCAAACCCAAGAAATATATTAACTGGTTATCATTCCACACTTACTACATCGTCCTCACATCAAATTTTCCTATTAGTGTTTGATTTTACGTTAAGTACACTATTATATATTTCTCTTTCATAGACTGTATGGATATTTTGAGGGGAAAGAAAAAATTGTCAATATATTTCGGTTCATAATCTAAAGATAGTAATTTCTTTTCCATGCTTAATTTATAATCATTCAGTAAATAATTTTAGGATGATGAAATGATAGGGGTGACAAATGATAATAGGTAAATGATAGATTTAGTTTCTTGTGCACTAGATACTCAAACATTAGAATGAATTCTTCATGCAGTAGCAAAAATTATCACTTGATATTTTTAAACAGAGGTTGAAATAGAAACATTTAATTTTGCTTACCAAAAATTTGTATCACTGAGAGCTGATTGGCCTTCAAGTAGTTTTTATCCTTTTCACTTTTATGCCATGTATTGACTATATGTGATTCCTTCTGAACAGTGAACTAATCCTGTATCCAAAACAGTATGTTTAAATAGGGATCCGAGACTTATTTTCCTGAATACAAACTAAACTGTACTTCAGGACACAATAAACTGGAGAAAGCACAAAATCTCATCCTAAACAACCTTTTCTCAGTGATGTATGTTGTTTGAGATGAAATAAGATAGTGAGAAATCAAGAAGTCCCCTTAGCGGAGAACAGCTTGGATACCCCATCTCGAATCTGTTTGGTCTTTACCCCATACACAATAGGATTGAGCACAGGTGGAACAAGCAGATAAAGATTGGACAGGAGAATATGAATATATGGTGGAATATGGAACCCAAACCTGTGTGTAAAGAAGGAGAAGAAAGCCAAGAGGTAAAATTCAAGGAAGACACAGATATGTGCAATGCAGGTGTTAAAAGCTTTGAGCCTGGCCTTTTTTTGAGGCAGATTAAAGACAGTTATAAATATTCGGATGTAGGAGAGTGTGATGAAGATTATGTCAAATCCAAGTACACTGAATGCTACAAACAGACCATAGATCTTGTTGATTCGAACGTCCTCAGTTGCCAGTTTCACGATGGCCATGTGCTCACAGTATGAGTGGTAGACCACAGTAGTCCGGTAGTGTTTCAGCCGGCTTTTGATGAGGATGAGACAGGGAGCTACAAGGAGTGCTCCTCTGAGCGTCACTGCAACCCCAAGCTGAGTGAGGAGCTGATGCGTGAAAATGGTTGCATGCCTCAGAGGATCACAGATTGCCACATAGCGATCCAGGGCCATGGCCAGCAGAATGCCTGACTCAACACACTGGAAAGTGTGGATGAGCCACATCTGAAAGAGACAGACATCAAAGTCTATCTGGGGAAGGTGAAACCAAAATATCCCTAACATTTTGGGTAGGATGCAAGTGCTGAGAGCAATGTCTGTTGCTCCAAGCATGGCCAGGAAGAGATACATGGGTTCATGGAGGCTGCGCTCAGATTGGATGACCACCACGAGCAGGGAATTGCCAACCAGAGCAATGATGTACATGGCGCAAAAAGGAATCCCAATCCAGCACTGCACAGACTCCAGGCCCGGGATCCCGACCAGTGTCAGCACTGAGGGCATGAAGACTGTGCCATTGAGCTCCCCCATGGCAGCTCAGAGCTCCAGGTTTACAGCTTCACTTTCCAGGTGCCAGTGTATAATGAGGGTCTCTCTTCTCACCTAAATTCATACAATTAGAGATTGAATGTGTCTTTGAAGTGCATCCTGTCAGACATACTCATTTTTGAAGGTGCAGTTCGATGAGTCCAGAGAAGCAAACAAGAGTTTCCCTGGTTGATTCATCCCAGATTATGGTCCTCTTCTGGGTCTCTTCTCCTACCTTTCCTCTTTATGTTTCTGTCTGCTTCTAGTTTTCTCACACTCTGTCTTCCCCACCCCCTCACACACTCACACACACACACACACACACACACACACACACACACACACACACACAAATACTACAATCATTTGCTCTTAATCACTCACCGCTAAAAGCAAACACCTTTCTAGCCCTGGGAGGGTATAGTATAGGTGTGCATTGTTAGTTAAAATTATTCTTTTAAATATCAGTTTGGACTGCTCTGTTAATAAGATGTAGATATTTAATGATACTTTATCTATATATTCTTTTTGTGACTACCGAAAAAACATTAACCAAGAGGTCAGGCCGAAAGCAAAGAAAGGAATACAATTTCAGGTAAATTGTAACATTAGGTAAATAATTACTTAAAGCATGATCCTAATTGGCAAGGAGACATGACATACTGGATAATTCCATATTACAAGTATCATACACATATATCAGGCATAGAGAAGTATTGTGATACATGGCTACTTTGATTCCAGAGGTGGAAATTAAGAAATTTTTCTCTGGAAAATTGGAGATTAGATACATGGGAGTAGAAAATACAAATGACACATGAATCAAATTTTTTATGGAAATTTACAATTGCTGATTTTGATGTAGGAAAGATAACATCATGTCCACAAGTAAAGTTGTTATGTATGTTTGCTCTAGGAAATTTTTCTATTTTTAACATCTGCCAAACAATAACTTCATTTGAAAATGTGTACAAATACTATTACTTTGAAAAACAGAAATTATGACTGAGAAATGTAATTTTTTCAGACTTACAATATTGCATAGATAATTATATTTTTTCAGTGTCATTCACTTTAGGATATAATTTCCTTGTAAAACATGCATGAAAATCCAGTTTTTACAAACTATTAATATGATTGTTATTCAAAACACAGAATCTAATTATGCTTTGCTTCAAAAGGATGGGGTAAAATGTCTCAAAATTCTCACCTAATGTACTACCTTGGAGAAACTATGAGAGGTAAAGTTTTTCTCCATTAGGTCATGTAAACTAGTGTTAAAATTCTGAAGTATTTAATAAATTCAAAATTTGAATTGTCCTTTAAATAAAAGCATGGTGATTTCCCATATCCCTAATGCATCGTTTCTATTTTATATCTTCTTTGGCCACAGTTTCTCTTACAGAGTATCCTTGGATATTATTACGTAGTTCATTTTCCTGTCCCTCAAATCCACTCCATTCCATCTGCTAAGAAAATGTTAGCACATGTTCCAATTTACACATCTGTGTAAAATTTCCATTTAAAAGACAGTACTGTAACCTTTGCAATTTTATTTTTCTCTTACATATTGAAATTTGTATATCATTAATACACAATATGCCCTTCAATTCTTTTAGCATCCTTTCCCATTACAGAATCTATGCTGATGTCTCATCTAACAAATTCTTTCAGAATCTTTCTCTCTGAAAGATTAGGGTGAATTTATCTTAATGAATCAAATACCTGGTTTCAAAGTTATCTGTCCTATACATTTTCAGAATTAAAACAGATGAAAGCATAAAAAACCAAATTGTATTTTTTATAACTAGTTATAGAAATAGCAAAATCTGAGAGGCATTATCACTCCTTCAAATTGATCCCACTTTTGATTATACCTGGTGAGTGAGCTCACTGTGCAATAGTGTGGGTGGTAAGGCAGTTTGTCAATTTTAGGATCAAATTACAAAAAATTTATCTGGCTTTATATATATTTGACTTTTTTCAAACCAACATTAAAGCAATATAACCAAATAATAACAGGGGGTTAGAATTTCTATACAAAGGATATTTTTATCTATTTTTTTGAATTTCAAAAATTCATATTTCTCCAGAAAAACTGTATATTTTAACATTGATTTGAATTCTCTCTTCTATTCAGTTGTTAATGCATTAGATTCAGCCCTGACACCCTCTATTTCCTTGCCTCTTCTCCATGATTACTCTTCTCAGCCAGTACTCCTGGAATTTTATCCACATTGTTTTCTCTGACTTAGATCTTTCTACCTCCCAATTTATACTTTACTGTACAACATGAGGTTTTTATCATATGGGGGTGTTCAGAGAAATGTCAAAGTATGTGTAGCTGTAGTAGTTGTACATGCTTCATGCATAGCATGAAGACCACAGGAAACTCCCTGGGATCTGGACTCTGTCCACATGGAAACTTACAGTGAAGTGACTCAAGACCCTGGATTCTGGATCCCATCACTCACCTCCAGCACTTCCAGCTCTGTGTCTTCTTTCAAGGAACTAAATTTTCTCGGTCTAAATTGTCTTCACTCATCAATGGGGATAATAATCACCCTTCCTCAGTTAGAAAATAAAAGGACTATCTGAAAATAATGCTTGCGAGCATTATTTGTAAATGATATGTTTAAAGAATGAGTGCCCTATAGAAGTACTATATAGCTGTATGTGCTCAATATTATTTCATTCCTTCAACCATCCTTCTTCATTAAGAAATGTATTTTGAAATTCTATGATTTTAAAAAATGGTTCAATGTGCACTTTGTCCTTCCCTATGCTTGTAATATTTCTTTTAGATTTCACCTGTCTAAAAATATCTCCTTATTATTCAATTATCCACTCAAGCTTCACCTTCTATTTGGAACAACTCTTGATTTACTAGAGTAGAAGTCCATATTCCTCTTGTATGTCTCCCTGTGGAAACGACAGAATGCTTGATGATTATAAACCATTGAAAATTTAATGAAACAATGAGAGTTTGATGTTTCCTAAAATAATTACATATAAAAATATACAATTTTTAATGCTGATGCAAATATGCTTGTCCTGTTCTCAGATGCATGACTGAAGGAAGGAATAGGGAGCTAAAATCAGGAAAAAAGAAGAATCAATATAGAAAAAAATGCTAAGAAACTTGATATCTTAAAGTATAATCTTCATCTATTTTTATTACTACAATTTTACCTTGTTATGTTAACCTGAACAAGAATACATACCTGTCTTGGTTGAAGATTTTAAGAATTTTACTATCCTCAACTTTTCTGAGCAAAGATAAGAGGAGCATATAACCAAGATGACTTCAATAAACAGTCTTCATGTTAAGTTTTAGATAAAATATAAATCTCCTTTTCAGAAAGTCTTCTCAGAGCTGACTCTCAGAGTTAATCCCTTATATATAATTACACTTCAATTCCCTACACTCCCTTTACATCACTGAGACCCCTCTGAGAATACATATTCAGAACCTTACGGTTCCAACCTTCTCATATACATCCACCTTCTCATGCAGAGGTAGCATGCTGTGCAGATAAAGCAATCCATTCTAAGATGCAAATATAGGACAACAATAGTCCAGGATTTAGACAAGAGTCATGAGGCAATTCTTCTGAGAAAATAACAAATGACAAAAATCATCTTCTCTACAGGCCATAAAATTGACTTAAACCCATTTTTATTAATTATAACTAATCATTAATATTGATTTTTTTGCATAAGAAAAGCATATGTAAGATATATTATGAGGCTCTTGGGTCTCCCTCCCTGAACTCAATGAATCTTGTTCTCACCATGAATTTTTTTTATATGTTTACAATTGAGGGGGAATTTAAATTCTTTTTTATTAAGATAGCATTGATTTACAGTATTGTATATGATTTAGAGGAAAAGATTTGGACCCTTTCAGATGTGCATTATTATTCCATACACATCACTAAAGTACCCCCAATCTTTCACCATAAACTATGGAGTTCCCTCCTCCTTTTGTCTCCAAACCTTCAAAGATGAACCAATACCCACACTTCTCAAATTCCTCCAGAATGTGAGAAAAATAACTATCTTCAAGCATGTGTTCTTAAGTTGACATTACTCTGGTACCGACAGGAGGCAAAGATATCAAAAGTTAAAAACTACAAACCTCAATAAAATCTTGGCAAACTTCCCCCTTTAGCAGCCTCAATTCAGCAGTTATATTTCCAGGTTTTTTGTTTGTTTACTTTGTCTGTTCTTTTTTTTGTTTCTCTGTGTTCCACATTATGAGTGAAATAATCCATTGTTTTTCATTCTGCTTGTGAATGATTTCATTTAGCATTAATTCAAAACTCATTTAGTAAGTTATTCCATATAGAATCCCTTCCAGTTCTAAACATGTTGTCACAAAGGTCAAGATTTCATCTTTTTTTTTTACAGCTGAGGAGTATTCCAGTGTGTGTGTGTGTGTGTGTGCATACTGAGATCTATACAAATACATCTTGATCACTCACCCAATCTTGACTTGGGTTGTTTCCACAATTTGGCTATTGTAAACAATGCTGAATTAAATATAAAGCAATCTATTCTTTGAATTAGTGTTTTTATCTATCTTTGGATAGATACTTAGGAGTGGAATTGCTGGATCATATCATAGGTCTATTTTTCATGTTTTAAGAAGCCTCTATACTGTTTTCCATAAAATATAGGTTTTATGGAATGACCGAGGTTTCATTCCCACCATACTGTACAAGATTTCCCTCTATTCCACATCCTTCACATCAATTGTTTATGGTCATTTGAAATTGATATAGACCATTCTTAGTGGTGTGAGGTGGTATCTTGGTTTACATTTCTCTGGTGACTGAAAATGATGAGGAATTTCTCCCTCCTCATCCTGTTGACCATCTTATGCTTTCTTTGCAGATGTGTCTAGTTAACTCTTCCGCTTGAAAAGATTTTTATATTAATGGAAGATATTTTTTAGCTTGCAGATTAAATATTTACAGCAGTTCTGATTTAGAACCTTG